CTTTTTCCTTCTCTCTCCTCCTCTCTCTCTCTCTCTCTTATGATTACAATTACAATAAGGATTAATTAATGGAATTAGTTGAAGAGATTTTTTTTTTTTCATTTCTTAATTTTTCGATTTATTTTCTTTTTCTCATTTATATATTAATATTGTGCTTAAATCGTTTGCTTTCTTTTTAAATTCATTTTTTAAATTAATTAATTCATTAATTGAAGGTAACTTTTTTTTATTATATCGATTTGTTTCAAAATTTTTATCTGAAATTATTTAATTTAAAATTTTTAGTTTCATTGTAATATAATTCCGGCAGTATTATACATTGATAGTAATGATAGTAGCGAGAAAGAATTGACAAAATTATTAATGGAAGATTTAAATCAAGAACAATACAATCGTTATATATTCATTCAAGTTTTAAGGTATTATTTTGTATTCATATTTTTAATTTTCAATTAATAAACATATCATGCATTATTATAAATTCGATTTAATCATTCATGAGATTAAATTTATTAAATTTTAAAATTTAAATCACATTTTATTTACAACAATACTGAATGATAAGAAATTCATCGCTTCTATTTTCTATATTTATACCTATGCGACAGTCTCCCTTATTCAACAACCCTTACCTTTTGTCTTCTATATTCATATTTAATGCGACAATTTCCTTATATTCATATCTTATATGATTATTTATTTGATTTTTAAAGATTTTTACAGGAAAAGTAAGGCAGAATTTTTAAAAGAAACAGAAAAGATAAAATTGCAAGAAGTTATGAAAGCAAATTTGGAAGCAAAAGAACGACTTGAAGAATGGAAACAAAAACAGAATACAAAATTAAAATGGTTTGCATTCATTTTTTTTTTGTTTTCAAAAAAAATTCTAATATATGAAATATTTTTAATTGTTTAAAAAGCATAAATGATGTGTTTAAGAAAGAGTTTTTATAAAAAATAAAAAAAAAAAAGAAAAAACTATTTTCAAAATTTCCAGACTACCTTCGACATATATCATCCATCATATCGATACGTTTCCACTTCAACAATATGATTTTCACTGACATCTTCATTTCTTTTTTTTTTTTTTTACTGACTAAAAGTTTGAAATTGTCCAAATTTTAACATATCAGAAGGATATACTTCACACATACGTCAAATTTATAGATTGCAACAGTTGATTAGCCAAAAAAAAAAGGAAAAAAAATGGTAGAAATTTTTTGGAAGAAATGATGAATTTTGTTGATAATTTTAGAAGACTATTTGAAAATTTTTACTAAATTATCTGAAAGTATTGATAAATTTTTAAACAATAAAATTATTAATTAATAATAAATAATTAAAGAGTGTGTAATAAATTACGAAATAAAATAAGTATAGCCTCATTTCATTTCATATTTTTATAATTTTGGAATACGAATAAATTTCAGGCTGTTGCGCAAAAAATCGACAATAAAGAGGAATTTTTGAATATTATAACTTCACTTGAAGTGTTACAACAAATGAATTTTAATGATTCAAAGAAATTATCAGAAATTAGCGACATTGCGAAACAATCATCAGAACAAGTATGTTTAATAACTTTAGAAAAAAAAAAACTTGGGTAGCATTTAGCAACTTCATTTTTTTTTCCCTTTTTTTTTCTTATCCTATAATAAAATTATTGCTTATTAAAGATTTTAATTGAAATCACATACTTGAAATAAATTATTTAATTTTTCTCTTTTTCTTTCACCCTTCCTTGTCTGATTAAATTTAAATTACACTTAAGGACAATGAAGCAGAAATGAAAGATGAAAGAATGGTAAAAAAATCATCCAGAAAAATGTCACCAGATTTTCATGTATGTTTTGAAATTTTCACAATTAAATCGTTTTGTTAAGATTAAAAAATTAAAAAGGAAAAAAAAAGATTTTTTCCCATATTTATCTAATTTTTTTTCCTCCTTTATTCAATAATGAAATTTTGAAATGAATTTGAATTTTTGTGGCAAAAAAAAAAAAAAAATGTAAGTCAACCAAAGAAGTGACACTTTTTTTCGCAAACTTTTTTCCCAACTAATTAATCCTTTTTGTTTTAAAAAAAATATATATTTAATTGAAACGAAAGTTAATTACACTTTCCAAATTGTTCAACTTTTTTATTGCATATTGAATTTTAGTTTAAATTAAATGCTATTACTGTAAATCGTTTCATTTACATATTTATTTTAGAATGCGGAAGTGATATTATCAAATTGAAATAGTTTTCTTTTACTTCTTATTTGAACTTAAAAATAATTTATCAGACAAGTGAAAGGAACTTGGAATATTAAAACAACATTAAGCTCAGAAAAGGGCTAACAGTCATTTACGATGTTTTGTAGGGCGAGAAGTTACCGATTATTATAAGTTAACTTTCTGAGTGCCCGTCATCAAACACTGGAAAAGTTGACCTTGCAATGTAGCCTTCTTTTGGTTAACATAGCAACAGTATACTATATTTGATCAGAT